TTTTTATTATTTAGTATTGTATAAAAATAATTTTTTAATTTTATATAATTTTATATATAATATTTAAATAAAAATTTATTTAATTTTTAAAATAATTTATAAATATATAAATATAAAAATATAAAAATATAAAATATAAAAAATATAAAATATAAAAAATATAAAATATAAAAAATATAAAATATAAAAAATATAAAATATAAAAAATATAAAGGAAAAAAGCTTGATTTAACAAACTAAAAAAAACCTTTATAATATAGTATATAAAATAAAAATTTAAAACTGAATATAATGAAGATTAAAAATTCAATAATTATAAGCTTTTTTAAAATCAAATAATTTTATCAATAGTCTATTTAAAGAAATTATAAGAAGATCATTAAGAGTTTTTAAATGCATGCGATTACTTAATTTTGTTTTAATATTATTTTGATATGAAAATACTCATTCAATATAAGAATTAGAAAGAGGTAGAGTTAGTAATAATGAAACTAAAATTGAAATATTTAGATAAAGTATATTAAAATTTTCAATTTTAAAAATATTATGCCAAGCATCATATAATTTAAAATTTTGAAAATTATAAAATAAAGAACAAAATACAGACCATTCTTGTAAAAGTTCAGTACCATTAATAATAGCAAGAATTTCATTATCTATTAATAAATTTAATAAATATTAAATATAAAATAATATATTATAATAGGCAATACTATTTAAATATATATTATCAAAAAAAATAAATAATTTTATATATTTATATAGTATTAATTAATCAAATTTTAGAAAATTAATTATTAAAATATATATTACTGCTAAATTTTTTTAAAAAACTATATATTTAAATAGTATGCAATATATATTTAAATAGTATTAATAGTATAATAATTTTTATTAAATATTACCTTTAATAAATTTTGAAGTATCATAAAAATTAATTAATTTTTGAATAGATTTTTGACTATAATATCCAAGTATAGTTTTATCAATAGGTAATTCTTTTGGATCAAATATACAAAATGCATCAACAAGACTATAATCTGGAAATCTTTCTTTTAAACTTTCAATAACAGCTTTTGCAAAATCCTGAACAAATAATAGTATTTCAAAATCATCTATATTTTTTTCTATAAGATAATTTTTTAAATGAATTCCCTAAGTTGGTGATATATTTTCTTCATCAATAAACTCTGTAGTAATAGCCTTAATAGTTGCATCAAGTTGAAGTTTTATATCAAATAAAGTTATATAATTTGTTTGAAAAAGTAATGTCAATCATTTTAAATATCTCATAATATCTGCCAAATAATATATAGCTAAATAAAAATTATTATCAATCTCTGAATAAAGAAAATTAGCTATATTATCTGTTAAACTATCTTCAAATAAA